TGTCCATACAGTGTTACATTACGATGTGTTATCTATTGATTGTCCATACAGAGTTACATTACGATGTGTTTTGTATGGATTGTCAATATAATGTTACATTACGATGTGTTCTCTATGGATTGTCAATACAGTGTTACATTACGATGTGTTCTCCATGGATTGTCAATACAGTGTTACATTACGATGTGTTCTCCATGGATTGTCAATATAGTGTTACATTACGATATGTTTTCTATGGATTGTCAATACAGTGTTACATTACGATGTGTTCTCCATGGATTGTCAATATAGTGTTACATTACGATGTGTTTTCTATGGATTGTCAATACAGTGTTACATTACGATGTGTTCTCCATGGATTGTCAAAACATGCTATATATGCTAATTTCACAATATTTACATGTATATAGGTGGTTTGAACTGGAGATGGAAGTTGCAATACAATGTGTTGTTACAATCCGTGTAACATTCATACAATTTTAATTTTTGTTCTAATATCTGTTTCAAAGGACGTGGAACAAGTGATGAGAAACCTTGAAAGCATGAAACAACAGGGTCAACCAGGAGGGAAACGAAAAAGCCTCGCTCAAATTCGAGGTCTGGTTGCAATCGCCGGTCTCTATGGTGGATTCACGCCATCTTACCCACCTAAATTCTTGATGAATGCCCAAACATTTTGCGACAATTTTCCATTTCACATTGTGTTCGACAAAGATCTAAAAATTAAGCAGTCAGGAATCCATATTCAGAAGGTCATGCCAAGATTACGTAACTTCGATGCTAAAGTCCCCCTGTTTTTTAAAATTAACCACCCTCAAATTGAGTGGAATTTGGAAAGCATAAACAAGTTCATAAATCAGCAGTTTATACTGGAAACCAAGAAATCAATGGTAGCAACGGAATGGGAAGAAAGACCTATGCTGCAGTTACGTGGTAAGTATGGAATAGCGCCACCTACGACGTGACGATTTTTCATTGCCAATCAAAGACTCTTTTCATTTGCATATTTGTTAATATATCCCGTAAAATTACGTCACGAGAAATTGGTGTATATCACATTTTTACAGTGGAAAAGAGCTACATCCCACTAACTAGGCCCGCGGTTTAGAAGCACGGCGTCCAATCTGAGATTGGGACATAAATAGTGTTAGTCCAGTGTGTTGTTGTTGTTGTTGTTGTTGTTGTTGTTGTTGTTGTTGTTGTTGTTGTTGTTGTTGTCTTCTGTGTACGTAACACAACAACGTACTGTGTATAAACAAAATCAATAATAGCCGCCAAACAAATCAATACAATACAAAAATGTAGTTTTACCATAAAATGCACTATGGTAAAGTTGTGGGTGACATGGCACAAACGTGGTCAATAGATTTAGTTGAACACAATTTAACAAGAAATAAATTTTAATATTATTTCTATACACAAGTATCTGTGCATGGTGTCAGTGCATTATGCAGGCGCGAGGCAAACTACTAGTTTCAACACATAGTACTGACACGAATGGCTGCATACATGCGAAGGTATGATTTAAATAAGAGTATAGATCTCAATAAATTGTCACTGTCATCACAGGTCAAATGGTTTGGGTGAAAGAGTTTGACAGTATGATATATCTATGTTCTCCGAGACTAGAAAGCCTCAAAGAAATGGAAGATAGAGCACTTCATTTGTCTGATATCCCATTGCATGACGTCACGCGGGATTTAATACTTTTCAACCAGCAAAAAATAGCAGAGTTGGAAATCGGCAAACAACTGGAGATGAAAAAAGAGCAATTGCACAGGACAATGAAAGAATTAGAGTCCGAAAAAGCTAAGACTGATATGTTATTACATTCTATGCTGCCAAGGCAAGTTGCCGATCAACTGAGGGAAGGGAGGAAAGTTGAAGCAGGCGAGTGGTTTAGTTACTAAATCAATCTGTACAGACAACAAATCAATTTACTAAGAACCACAGTTTATAATTAATATGATATGAAATGAAATGAAACAGCTGTGATGTACTCTGGCAGTGCCGATATGCTTAATCCGTACTACAGATGTACATGTGTAAATAATAAATTATTTTCTATTCAGGTGAATACACTCAGGTGACATTACTATTTAGTGACATTGTTTCATTTACTACCATATGTTCCCAGTCAAGACCAATAGACATCGTTAACATGCTTAACAGTCTGTATGTGAAATTTGACAAGTTAACTACAGTTCATGACGTCTACAAGGTGACTATTTTATATTATAATAATGTTGATCCGACCAAGGTTGATATACAGATTTGTTGGTCTGAATAATGTATATTGTTGACCGAGATTAAGCATGTCTTGTATGCAACAAGGCACATAACATATATTATTGAAGTCAATTAAACGAGCATGTACGCGCACTGCAAAGTGGGATTAGCTCTGTTATAGCTTCGCATAATAAAGTTATACAAACAGTGCAAAGTGTGTACAAAAGCAGTGGGACAATCTTGTTGATCAATGTATAGTGGTGGTTGATATACGATCCCTTAACTGGGTCCATACTTGACAATTGTTTGTGTTAATCGTTTTTATAGGCAAGCGGCCTATCAAAAAACGCCATATTTGGTATATATCCATCATGGTATGCTCAATACTTGGAGAGATACAAAGATGAAGAAACATTTCCACACAAAAAACTGAACAACTACTTACTTGTGTAACCTTCTAATGATTACAATGTTTGCTGGTGATATGAGTACACGAAGTCGCACCATTGGATTTTTTTTGAAATGGGGAGAATGTGCTTGTTGATGGTAAAATATGTATCTAAAAAGAAATTGTGTTTCTCCGTTGTCTCAAATAAATTTCAATCCACGGAACTGTATTGTTGTTCTCACCTAAAATTGTCCGCTTGGAAATCGCTAATGACTTAATTTTTGTTATGAAGCACTCAATTCAATGGTGGAATGATTCAAAGTGGTTTTCCGAGCATACTTTGACTGTGACAATATTTATGTCAATGTACCTAAAGTCACTCACAAAACGGACAATAAATACCGTTTTATGTATAGTTTAGCAAAAATTTAGTCAACATTGCAGTCCACCC